TAATAATAATAATAATAATAATTTAAGATGCTGCTCTGTTGTGATTCTCTGCTGCAGACAAGTTTAGCCGGGTGCCTTAGATCGAAGTCTAATGCAGTAGAAAAAGTTTCTTGGGTTACTGCAAACAAAAAAACCATGCTAAAAAAATCCGTTTTTGGCCAAGTTTTGTGCCAAATTTGCACCCAGACCTGGAAAAGAGGATGTGTCCTGGAAAAGGAGGACATATTTCTTGCCCAGCACTGAGCCTCTCCGCAGAACCAGAGCACAGAGGCCATTTCATACAGCAAAGAAATAAGAGCGAGCAGTCCAGGAAAAGGAACGAATTCTAGTTCCTCCAGAAGCACAGGGGAGGTAGCTGAAGATGAATGGGAGCCAGTGTTTCCGTTGTCATGGCGACAGGCAAGAAGCGCAGACAGTCCTTAGGCTGGCTGTGCTTTGCCCTTTTCAGAGAGAAGGCGAGTGATGCCAAGCCGGACTAGAGGTCTCAGGTGCATCACCTAAGCCAGCCTTGAAGCAAAGTCTCCCAGAGGCTGATGTGTCAGGAAGGAGATGGTGAAAGTTAAGAGAATGACAAAGCCTAGCCGATAGGTACCCAAAAGAGCTGGAGGGGATAGGGGAGAGAAAAGAAAGCGATCAAAAGAGGAAGGAAATTTTGGGAGCTGTAGTTTGTTGAGGGGGAATAATAGTTAGGAGACCCTGTATTCTCCCTCACAGAGGGACTGATTGTTAAACCACTCTGGAAGTTATAGCTCTGTGAGCGGGACTTGGGGTCTCTTAACATGCAGTGACACTTCCCAGAATCCTTTGGGGGAAGCCATGCTTGTTTAAGGGATGCGGGTGGCGCTGTGGGTAAAACCTGCGTGCCTAGGACTTGCTGATCGTAAGGTCAGCAGTTCGAATCCCCGTGGCGGGGTGAGCTCCCGTTGTTCGGTCCCAGCTCCTGCCAACCTAGCAGTTCGAAAGCACCCCTAAGTGCAAGTAGATAAATAGGGACCGCTTACAAGCGGGAAGGTAAACGGCGTTTCCGTGTGCTGCGCTGGCTCACCAGATGCAGCTTCGTCACGCTGGCCACGTGACCCGGAAGTGTCTCCGGACAGTGCTGGCTCCCGGCCTCTTGAGCGAGATGAGCGCGCAACCCTAGAGTCGGACACAACTGGCCCGTATGGGCAGGGGTACCTTTACCTTTATGCTTGTTTAAAGTTACATGAGTAACTTTAACATGAGGAAGCTTAACATGAGTCCACAGTGTGATGCAGCAGCAAAAAAACTAACGCTATTTTAGGCTGCATCAACCGAAGTATAGTGTCCAGATCAAGGGAAGTAATAGTACAACTCTATTCTGCCTTGGTAAACCAGAGTTCCCAGGATTATTTGAGGTAAGTCATTCACTGTTTAAAGTGGTATGATACTGCCTTAAACAGTATACAGTAAAAAGGTAAAGGACCCCTGGATGGTTAAGTCCAGTCGAAGGCGACTATGGGGTTGCGGCGCTCATCTCACTTTCAGGCTGGTGTTTGTCCACAGACAGCTTTCCGGCTCATGTGGCCAGCATGACTAAACCACTTCTGGTGCAACAGAAGACTGTGACAGAAACCAGAGCGCATGGAAACACTGTTTACCTTCCCGCCGCAGTGGTACCTATTTATCTATTTGCACTGGTTATCCAGTGATGACCAAACCTGGCCCTCCAGCTGTTTTGGGACTACAACTCCCATCAACCCTAGCTAACAGGACCAGTGGTCAGGGATGATGGTCCCAAAACAGCTGGAGGGCCAAGCTTGGTTATGCTTTCGAACTGCTAGGTGAAAATCCGAACATAAGAGTTGTCAAGCTTTTTTGCGGGGGACACTGCTTCTGGCTGTGGTATTCTGTGTATGTCCAGATGTATGGCATATGCAAATTCCAGACGTATGGCAGGTTGGCAGAACCTGGGACAGAGCAACAGGAGCTTACTACCATTGAGTGGATTCGAACTGCCAAACTTCTGATCAAGAATGTGGCCCTCAAGTCAAGAATTCTTCTCCCCGCCCTATGACTATGTGGAGCAGGGAGCAAGCGAGATCACTCCATTTAGGAGTGGGTGACGATTAACCCCTTGAAATTTCAGGTGCAGAGGAGCTATTTTCCTTCTTCCCAGTTCTATAGTGTTGTAGTCGTGGTTTTAAAATTTGCCTCTCGGAACAGGCTGTCACAACAAATAAGCTAAAAAAGGAACAACAAACTAAAAATGACTGCAGTGCAGCTTTAGAAAAAAGCCTCCCCAGACATTTCGCTATTGGAAACTTTATCTGTGAGCAAGGCTTGAACCGGATGACTTATTGGGGAAAATTTATTTCCCTCTTCCCTCCCCAGACGTAATGTATTGACTGGGGTGGTAATGTTGGTCTTCTTTTGCTTGTCATTAAGATCTGTTTCTCTTTTTCCTTGTTCCTTCTCTTTTGAATTATTGGCTCTTCTCCCCTTTTACATCTTCTGCTAGTAATTATTTGTCTCCTGCCTGGGCCTGTTTTCCAACCTCACTGCCTGAAGTCGGATCCCATTGCTCTTTTCCTCTTCCTGAGGTTGCAGCGGAGGTCTCATTCACACATAGCGCAAGGAGGCCACCTTAAACAACCCAGGCTATAGTTTACCTCCACAGTATTACAATTCTCAACAGAGGAGCCATTAATGGATGCTGGGTTTTTGCTGACATTTTTATGTATAAAGTGCTTTTGGCAGATGACACAACCTTGATGGCAGAAAGTGAGGAGGAATTAAAGAACCTTTTAACGAGGGTGAAAGGGGAGAGTGCAAAATATGGTCTGAAGCTCAACATCAAAAAAACGAAGATCATGGCCACTGGGCCCATCACCTCCTGGCAAATAGAAGGGGAAGAAATGGAGGTAGTGAGAGATTTTACTTTCTTGGGCTCCATGATCACTGCAGATGGTGACAGCAGCCACGAAATTAAAAGACGCCTGCTTCTTGGGAGAAAGGCGATGGCAAACCTAGAGCGCATCTTAAAAAGCAGAGACATCACCTTGCCAACAAAGGTCCATATAGTTAAAGCTATGGTTTTCCCAGTAGTGATGTATGGAAGTGAGAGCTGGACCATAAAGAAGGCTGATTGCCAAAGAAATTATGCTTTTGAATTATGGTGCTGGAGGAGACTCTTGAGAGTCCCATGGACTGCAAGAAGATCCAACCTATCCATTCTGAAGGAAATCAGCCCTGAGTGCTCATTGGAAGGACAGATCCTGAAGCTGAGGCTCCAATACTTTGGGCCACCTCATGAGAAGAGAAGACTCCCTGGAAAAGAACCTGATGTTGGAAAAGATGGAGGGCACAAGGAGAAGGGGACGACAGAGGACGAGGTGGTTGGATAGTGTTTCTCAAAGCTACGAACATGAGTTTGACCAAGCTGTGGGAGGCAGTGGAAGACAGGAGTGCCTGGCATGCTCTGGTCCATGGGGTCACGAAGAGTCGGATACGACTAAACAACAACATCATAGGGATCAATGGTTCTTCCCAAATGACAGTGACTCAAAGAACACAATAGGTGCTATTCAACTGAAGTTTACTCAGAGCAGACTTACTGGAATGCATGGCCCTAACTTACTCACCTCTGTTGATTTCAGAGGGTCTACTCTGAGTAAGATTGAGTACCACATGGATGATATTCATGTGATTCATGATAGGATCAGTGGTTCCCACTGTGGGCAGTGCCCCCCTCTGTGGGGGGGGGGATTACCTGGGGAGGGTATTAAGAGGCAAGGGGGCACCAGGGGGAGCTGTAAATAACTATGACTCTGAAAAGTGGATATTGCTGGATCAAGTCCATCACTTTTGTTGAATTAAACTACATAGTTTTAACTGGATTTTGAATAAATGTGTAATCAGTGGTCACTGTTTTGAATTTTATTGTGTTTTTTATCTTCCTTGGTGGGTCGTGCAAACTGCTATTTTGAATGATGCTTTTTAGGGGGTGGGGTAGGGGGCACTGGGCAGATCTGAAAAGATTTGGGAACCACCGGTCTGGATGATTCAAGCATCACTTGGGGAGGGCAGGGGGAACCACGGAAAACAGAATTTGGGGTAGCATCTATGCTGTGTGTGTGTGTGTGTGTGTGTGTGGTGTAATTAAATTTTTGGTTTTACAATTTAAAATACTCATTTAAACATCCTTCAAATATCAATGATTTCCCTCCTTCTCTTCCCATAGTTCATTTTACATATCATAAAAACCCCTGCATATTTTACAAAAACTAAACCATGCAGTATTCCATTATTACATCCATCAAAACTTATTTGCACTGTTGAATTTATCTTAATGCTGCCCGCGTTTCAAGTGTACACAGTTTTCCCCCCATGTATTCAATAAACGTTTCCCAATCTTCTCTAAACGTATGATCTTCTTGTTCTCTTATTCTGTATGTTAAATCTGCAAGCTGCGCATATTCCATCAGCTTAAGTTGCCATTCTTCTTTGGTTGGGACCTCACTTGTTTTCCATTTTGGGGCTAACAAAACACGGGCCGCAGTAGTAGCGTACATAAATAACCTTTTTTGTTGGTGTTGATCTTCAGCTTGTTGTCACACTTCCTTTTTGTCTCAATTTACCACCTGCAAGGTGGGACACGGGTGGCGCTGTGGGTTAAACCACAGAGCCTAGGACTTGCCGATCAGAAGGTTGGCGGTTCGAATCCCCACAACGGGGTAAGCTCTCTTTGCTCAGTCCCAGTTCCTGGCAACCTAGCAGTTCGAAAGCAATGTCAAAGTGCAAGTAGATAAATAGGTACCGCTCTGGCGGGAAGGTAAACGGTGTTTCCGTGCGCTGCTCTGGTTCGCCAGAAGCGGCTTAGTCATGCTGGCCACATGACCCTGTAACGCCGGCTCCCTTGGCCAGTAAGCGAGATGAGTGCCACAACCCCAGAGTCAGTCACGACTGAACCTAATGGTCGGGGGTCCCTTTACCTTTACCTTTTACCACCTGCAAACTGATGTGTGTCTTCACTGTTGCAGGGATCTGAAGCTGGATAATGTTTTGCTCGATCACGAGGGCCATTGCAAGCTGGCTGACTTTGGAATGTGTAAAGAAGGAATCCGCGACGGGGTCACCACGGCGACCTTCTGTGGAACACCTGACTACATCGCCCCAGAGGTACAGGAAATATGTTGCCTGTGCAGGAGCTTTGCTTTCTCAAACCCTGCATTCCCCACCAGGCTCGGCTCGGCAGTGCAGAAACCGAGCTAGGCCAGGTTATGTGGCAGAATAAATGATTCCAAATTAGAAATATTTGCACAGTATTTGCAAGGCGTTTGGATATATGCTTGCACAGGGTTTACATATGTAGTTGCCTCAAAGCCGTGAGACTCTTCTGCAGGCAGCATGGATATTGTTCTGCCAACAGGACAACAGTTCTGTGCATGCACCCAGAAGCTCACTGCGTGCAGATAAAGCAGTGTGCAGGAATAATGAACATCTGCAAATGGGAGTGCATGAGCTGATGTGGGGAAAAAACCCTGTACAATGGTTGTGCCTTAGCGAGGGCCAATACAGTGGTACCTCAGTTACATACGCTTCAGGTTACATATGCTTCAGACTCTGCTAACCCAGAAATAGTGCTTCAGGTTAAGAACTTTGCTTCAGGAAGAGAACAGAAATCGTGCTCCGGTGGCGCAGCAGCAGGCAGGAGGCCCCATTAGCTAAAGTGGTCTTCAGGTTAAGAACAGTTTCAGGTTAAGTACGGACCTCTGGAATGAATTAAGTACTTAACCTGAGGTACCACTGTATGTTCCCCATCAGTACAGTTGTACCTTGGATCTCAAACGCCTTGGCTCCCGAACAAATCAGCTCCTGAACGATGGAAACCCAGAAGTGAGTGTTCTGGTTTTCGAACAATTTTCAGAAGCCAAACGTCTGGCACGGCTTCCGATTGGCTGCAAGATGCTCCTGCAGCCAATCAGAAGCTGCGCCTTGGTTTTTGAATGGTTTTGGGAGTCGAACGGACTCCTGGAACGGATTCTATTTGAGAACCACGGTACGACTGTATCTGTGTGAATTTGTATCAAATGCATCCTGTGTCCCATTTTGCGCAGGTACCTCTGGATCAAGTCTAGGGTATTCTCATTGAACATTTCAGGGTTTTCTTTATGTCCCGTCCATGGGCCAGTTCACATGTTAAACTTGCTCTTTCATAGTACCCGCATGCATCTGTAGTGCTCCTCTTGGTTTCTGAGCACTTGGTGATTCGCAGCCAATTGTGAGGCGTGATAGGAAAGTTCTTTCTGTGAGATTAGCCCTGCAGTGGCTCACTCACAGGTCCAAGTAGTTTCTGAACAGCTTTATTTCTGAACAGGTAACTTCACTGTGAAGAACCCACACTCTGAAGAAGTGTGCATGCACACCAAAGCTCACACAAATAACAAACTTAGTTGGTCTCTAAGGAGCTACTGGAAGGAATTTTTTGTTGTTGTTGTTTCACAGTATACAAAACTGACTTATGTCCAACAACCAAATTTTACAGCTTTCAGCTTTTCAGCTAGCATTCCTTGAATGTGTTTAGAATTCTTACATGTGTCTATTGACTAACTCCCAACAATACCATACCAGACGTTTTCCTTAAATTCAAGGAACCATACTTCAGTCAATCAAAATTACTCTATGGCACGTTGGGGGAACCAAACTAGGCAAGTCCTTCAGGGAGCCTAGTTTACTTCCATCACTTCTTGTCATAAGTCATTGCTTGATGCTGCAATCATCCCATGGTGACCAGGCAAATGTGAACTAGGACTTGATTGCTTGACATTTGTGTGGGTTGGAGAATGCTGTACTTGAATTTCCATCACACTGCAAAGGATTTTGATCATGCGACATGTGTTAATTAGCTGGCCTGTATACATGAAGGAGCGTCTCCACCCCCATCGTTCAGCTCAGACACTGAGATCCAGCGCCGAGGGCCTTCTGGCGGTTCCCTCACTGCGAGAAGTGAGGTTACAGGGAACCAGGCAGAGGGCCTTCTTGGTAGTGGCGCCCACCCTGTGGAACGCCCTCCCACCAGATGTCAAGGAAATAAGCAGCTATCTTATTTTAAAAAGACATCTGAAGGCAGCCCTGTTTAGGGAAGTTTTTAATATAATGCTGTAATGTTTTTAACACTCGATTGGGAGCCGCCCAGAGTTGCTGGGGAAACTCAGCCAGATGGGTGGGGTATAAATTATTATTATTATTATTATTATTATTATTATTAGCTGTAAGAGCCTAACATGGCTGCTCTTCTGGAAACAATTACGAAACCTCACTGGGCTTTGATCTGTGATCATCTTTCACATATGCATGCCATCACTCGGTGTTGCAGTCCTCAACAGGCAGGGAATAAGAATGACTGGGTAGCACTGTTGATTTTGACTCTTGCTCATCTCACGACAGATTTTACAAGAGATGCTGTATGGTCCCGACGTCGACTGGTGGGCAATGGGAGTGCTGCTCTACGAGATGCTCTGTGGCCACGCTCCCTTCGAAGCTGAAAACGAAGATGACCTCTTTGAGGCCATCCTTAAGGATGAAATCTCCTACCCGTCTTGGCTCCCAGAAGATGCCGTTTCAATTCTGAAGGCCGTATGTATACACTTGTCTTGTTTGCACAACTTCCCTCTGACTTACATCTTTGGCTAAACAGTAAGAGTCGGTAGGAATTTCAAAATATCCCCGTTCACCCAGGCATTTGCAGAGGAGGGCAACCAAGACGATCAAGGGTCTGGAAACCAAGCCTGATGAGGAACGGTTGAGGGAGCTGGGGAGGTTTCGCTTGAAGAGAAGACTGAGAGGTGATGGAACAGCCGTCTTCAAATATCTGAAGGGCTGTCACATGGAAGATGGAGCAAGCTGGTTTTCTGCTGCTCCAGAGGGTAGGATCCGAACCAGTGGGTTCAAATGACAGGAAATGAGATTCCAACTAAACATTAGGGAGAACTTTCCAACGGTAAGAGCTGTTTAGCAGCAGAACAGACTCCCTCAGAAGGTGGTGGGCTCTTCTTCCTTGGAGGTTTTTAAGCAGAGGTTGGATGGGCATCTGTCAGGGATGCGTTAGCTGAGATTCCTGTCTTGCAGGGGGTTGGACCAGATGACTCTCAGGGTCCCTTCCAACCCTATGATTCTGTGATTCTATGAAAGATACTGTTCCTGGCGACCTTGGAAATATCAGCTGTGGGGATACATAATAATAATAATAATAATAATAATAATAATAATAATAATTAATTTTTTATTTATACCCCGCCCTCCCCAACCAAGGCCGGGCTCAGAGCGGCTTACAAGCAATAATAAAAACAAGATGAATGATTACAACTTAAAAACAAAAATAAAAGACAACATTAAAATAATGGAACATTAAAATATTAAGATGTAGCCTCATCGTAGGAGGAGAAGGAAAAGAAAAAAGAAAGAGAGGGAGGGAGGGAATCAAATTGGCTCCAAGCCAAAGGCCAGGCGGAACAACTCTGTTTACAGGCCCTGCGGAAAGAAATCAGATCCTGCAGGGCCCTGGTCTCATGAGACAGAGCGTTCCACCAGGCTGGAGCCAGTGTTATAAAGGCCCTGGCTCTGGTTGAGGCTAATCTGACTTCCTTAGGGCCCGGGACCTCTAGGGTGTTGCTATTTATGGACCTTAAGGTCCTCCACAGGGCATACCGGGAGAGGCAGTCCCGTAGGTACGAGGGTCCTAGGCCGTGAAGGGCTTTAAAGGTCAAAAAGGTAAAGGTAAAGGTACTCCTGCCCGTACGGGCCAGTCTTGACAGACTCTAGGGTTGTGTGCCCATCTCACTCAAGAGGCCGGGGGCCAGCGCTGTCCGGAGACACTTCCGGGTCACGTGGCCAGCGTGACATCGCTGCTCTGGCGAGCCAGAGCCGCACACGGAAACGCCGTTTACCTTCCCGCTAGTAAGCGGTCCCTATTTATCTACTTGCACCCGGAGGTGCTTTCGAACTGCTAGGTTGGCAGGCGCTGGGACCGAGCAACGGGAGCGCACCCTGCCGCGGGGATTCGAACCGCCGACCTTTCGATCGGCAAGCCCTAGGCGCTGAGGCTTTTACCCACAGCGTCCCGCGTCCCTTATAAAGGTCAAAAGCAGCACCTTAAATCTGACCCTGTACTCCACCGGGAGCCAGTTCATCTTGAAAAGCACTGGGTGAATATGCTCCCATGGCAGAGACCCCGTGAGGAGCCTCGCTGCAGCATTCTGTACCCGCTGGAGTTTCTATGGCTGTTCTATAATGTTCTCAGCTGTTGTCATTGTTTTGATTCTTTAAAATTGCATTGTTTTGCACCTTTGGTAGTTCATCTGGGGGAATGGGCCATGGTTCCACCAGTCTCAGTCTGTCCCCAGCCAACTCCACCTTCCTTGTTTACAGCTGGTCTGGATGTGGCTCTCTGCCTGTCACTGCCTGTGTCTCCACCTAATGCAGATCTTCCCTGCCTTTTGCCCTATCGGTCCCAGTGGGAACAACCCACTACTGGGCAATAACTGTTTTCATGAAATGTTGAGTTCACACGTATTGTCTCTCACAGCTACCCAAAAGGGGAGTGGGGCCAAGGAGGCAGGAGCAGAAGCATAGAATTGGACGGTGTAATGTGTATGGGGTTGCTCGTCCGTAAGCTGCCGCCTCTCCAGGCTAAATTGCCTTGTTAAACCTTTCTGACTGGACAGCCCTTCTCACCGTGGCTGCCTCAGTCACTAGCAGAATCTGTCAGTGGGCGTTTCTTAAACCTCTTCCAACATAAAAGTTGTTTGACTCCCAGTCTCCTCCTCCTCTCCCTGCGCGGAAGTCTTCTGCACAGGGAGGGCGTGGGTAGCGGAGGACCTGCGCTCTCCCCGCTGGTGTCCAGTGAAGAGTCCTGGAGCCCTCTCGCCGATTCCCCCATCTGCCCCCCTTTATCCCTGGTGTTGCGCTGATTTGCTTCCCCCTCTGCTGAGCTGCCTCTCCCCCTGCTGGGCCCTTCTCCAGCATCATCTGAGAGCCTTCTCTTTGCCTCTAGCTCCGATGTCAGTTCCCTGACAGAAGGGACCAAGAGGATCACCTAGTCTAAGGTTAACAGATTTATTTTTTTTCAAAGAATCCGGGGACATTTATTAATTTTTTTTGAAAAGAGAAAAAAATTGGAAAAATTATTTTTTTAAAAAATTAAGAAGTAATATCTTCTCTTCTGTCGTCTCCTCTGTCACACGGCCCTCCTCTGGGCCCTGGCCTGCTCTCTTGGAACGCTACCCTGCCATGGAGTAGGCTCAGGTCAGGCCTGGGCTCGGCCACATGTCCTTGCCCTCCCGGTGCTCTCCTACCTCTCTTCCTCAGCAGTGGTGATGGCAACAGCGTGGCAAGGTCGGAGCTCGCCTTTTTTTCCTCCTTCCTCTTTCTCTCTCTTCCTTCTCCTCTCCTCCTTCTCCCTGCGTTGGCTCCAGGGTTTTTACTGGCCCCAGAGCGCTGCTGGCCAGTTGGCCAGGTGGCCGGCCGCTCTCACTCCCGGCTCAATTTGGGTCATGGGGGGGTCAGCGGTTCCCCCAGTTGATGCGCCAGTGTCCCTGGTTCCCTCTTGGCAGTGGCAGCGGCAGTGGGAGTCTCAGCATCCCGGAGCCAGCCTGGTAGCGCAGTTCGCTCTGGCTGGCTTCAGGAGCTGCTCGCTGCTGTGGCGCCCGCCATTTTGCCTCGCTGGAAGTCCCCATATGATGTGTATTGTGCCGTTGAACCAATCACGCAACATTCATTCCCTACTAATAAATCTACAACACTTAAAATATAAATACAGGGACATTAAATGGAATCTGGGGACATTCCGGGGATGGATTTTGTCCAGGGACAGATTTGTAAATCCAGGGACTGTCCCTGGGAAACGGGGACGTCTGGTAACCATAGCCTAGTCCAACACCCAGGAATGCAGGAATCTTTTGCCCAACATGGGACTCGCAACCCTGAGATTAAGAGTCTTATGCTCCACCGACTGAGATATTCCAAAAGACAAGTCTGCAGTTCCAAGTTTGCTGTTCCTTGGAAGGCAACCTCCTTCCCTTGGGCAGCAGAGCTGTTTCGTCGTAGAAACCATCTGACTTTCTCCAAATTCCTCTTTGTATGGAAGTCTTAGAAGGTCACTTCTCTTCCTGGAATGTTCCTGAGAACATTCTTTAGCAGGAAAGCGGCAGTGACCTATAATGCACAAGGGGGAAAACTGAGCAAGGTTCCCAAAATCCCTCCCTCGCTCCGGCTTCAGTTATTTGTTTCTGACGAACAATTTATTGTCAGCTCTCCAAGGCAAATAACATTTCCAAACAATAGAATAATCACTCCAAGGCAAATAACATTTCCAAACAATAGAATAATCACTGGCCACTGTAAAAACAGGATGCTGGACTAGATTGGTGATAGGCCTGAGCCAACAGGTCTCTTCTTATGTTCTTATAAAAGAATCTGAACACCGATAGCCTACAAATCAATATGGCTAACATAGGGTTGCCATATTTCAAAATGTAAAAAGCAGGACACCCTGAAAGTTCTTTTTTTTTTTGTAAGAATAATTTTTTATTAACCGACCAATCACATCAAATCAAACCAAATTACATAAATTCCAAATTACACAGCCGAATTTTAAATTTTTGTTGGGGGTACCCATATTTCAAGTTCCGAAGGGGATCCAATCAACTTCTTGCTTCTTACTGCTGTTTTAATGTCCACAAATCTAACCTTATGATGTTCACAGTACTGTCCAGTCCTTTCTTATTGTTTTTCCACATCTCTTGTTGTTATTTTCATATATTTTAACTTTCTCTTTGGGACCTCTGATAATCTCCACAAGCTGGTTAGAACAGTTTGTAATCCTGCGTGCATATTTTTTTTTTTATCCAGTAGCCATATCCAGACGTTTTCCATATAACATCACTTCCATACATCAAAACAGTCTTAGCGTCATTAATCTTCACCAATCTGCCTCCTTTCTCAAAACCTCTGAGGAGATTCACTAGGAATACAGTCTGAAAACAAGTCCATTCTTCCTCCCGCCTATAAAACCTTTGGCAAGATGGCGACTCTGAATTGCTGCGCCATTCCCAAAAGCTCTTATTGCTTCTCGATCTCCATAAAGCATACTTTTGGTTAAAGTTTATCTCCACACAGACCTTAATCATCCTGCTTGGGTCAGTTCAACCGACGATTCTAATGAGGAGGGGTTCTTGTAAATCACATAGAAGGAAAGTAAAAAAGGTCGTCGTCCCCGTCCCCCCCATTCAGTCCCGTTGTCAACATACCCAGCCATTGGTGTATCTTCATCGTAAAATATTCCTATTTCTCCAACCCGTCGTCTTCTTTCGCAGAGGTCACTTAAATTAGCAGACTTCACTCCCCTTCTTCACTTGAAATATGTGCATTTGCTTCTTTTGTAATTAATTATTCCAAATTGCTGCAACTAGTGCGCGATCAGAGACAGCGTCCAGGAGAGCCGAGGTCCACACGGGGGCATTCTGCCTAGGGCCCTCACCCCCTTCTTTCGAATTAGGGGGTGATTTATGGGCACAGCAGGCAAGGGCAGTGTTCTCCATTTTCTTGGGGCAACAAGGGAGGCTACCTACTCCCATAAC